CGGGTGGGCGCGTCGGCTGTGGCTGTGAACGTCCGGCAAAGTCTGGGAGGCCGACGGAGAGGTATAATGACGACGTCGGACGAGAAGGATGCGAAAGCAGGGCAAAGGGGGGGGGGGCATGGGCGGGGTGAAAGATAAATAGTCCGGAAGCGGGATTTGAGTTGGTCGGGGGTGCTGAAGTCCTACGTGGCGGTGGTCCGAAGTCTCGTGAAGTTCCCCAATTTGGCCTGGTTTACGAAAATTCGGTCAAGCGGGTGTGTCCATGAACAAATAGGCGTCCACGTTAAATGATAAACTATGGCCGAACAGCTTAGTCCGGATGTATAAGGACATTTTGAGGTCCTCGTCGGAGATGACCTGAGTAGAACATTTGATATATATTGTTGGACAACTAAACATGGCTTAATCTTCCGATGGAAAGAGCAACGTGGTGCTAACTTTTGCGTGGGATTTGTAGAAATCAATGCACCCGCCTGTCGCCCCATAGGGGGTTGATCCAACTTTTGATGAGGACATATCCAATGTTGACTTTCAAAATGGACACTACATCCGTCCATGAATCGAGAGGGGCCAGTCCGTCGACACGGATGCGGGAGCCGACGGCTATCCAACCATAACCGCAAATGTCTGGTTACATTTCAGAGGAAATTTAGCAAAAGTGAACAAATTTGTCACATATTTAAAAGAACCAGACGAAATTCATTCATACTTGGGTAAATCTTACATAAAGCCAGAAGCTTTTCATCTAAATCGGAGCAAATTTATTATATTTCGACATATTTGAAGTTTTGAAATTAACCGTACTCTATAGTTAGTCTAAATGATCGTTGGTGCCCATTCCCCATGTACAATCGGCCATGAATGTCAGGGACCGAAGCTATTCGCCTCCGCAACTTGCTTTCTGTTAATCGGTCGGCGATGAAGAGCCCGCCAAGCTTAGCTTCAACGGAACGGGAGGAGTGGTGGCCATCTTGGGACCCGAGCGCCAGCATCCTCCCATGCTCTACTCTTCCTCGCCACGGGTGGCGCCCGCGGATGTATTAGCTTCATCGTTGTGGCGGCGGGGTGCGGTCGAGGGGGAGCTCGCGACGTCGTCCTTGTCCGCTGCCTCGTCAATTTCCTTGAAGGCGACTTCTAACTCCGCTTAATGGAGGTCACAGAGGATGTCGTGGAAGGAGCAGTAGGAGTCGAGCAGTGCTACCTGCTCGTCCACGTCCACATTTGACGTGATAGCCGTGTGGCGGCAAGTTGCTCATCCACGCGTCGGTGCTCATCGATGGTTTGGGATGTCGAACGCTTGCGTGGCCACGGTCTCGATGGCCACAAAGCCCCCCCTCCCACCGGAAGAATAATGTCCGGAGCCAAGAAGACAAATACATAACCGCATTGGATGGCAAAATACATCCGAACCGCGTGGTCCGGACAATTCGAAGGTCGACATTGGAATGCCCTAATGGCAGCTGTAGTGCGATTGGAATTGCACAAATTAGGTCAGTATACTACCTAAAATTCTCCAATAAAGTCTATAGTAAAGTGACTACAAAGTACTCTACACAGTCATCCCCTTTCTCGTGGGAGAGGTGAACTCACGCTGTGCACACCGACACCTATGGATTAATCTATATCCACTTATAAAAGAAGGCGATATTTTTGATCCGTCATGCCATTTTACAGGATATTTTGTGATGTTTCGCTAATCAACCTGCAGTTGAGTTTAAAGCTAGATTTTTTTTGCTTTAGCAAAAAACACTCTGATGTTTTTGGTAATTAACCCATGTTAATTTTTTGCTTTTGCATGAGAACCCCTGATATTTGGGTTAATCAATCCACAATATATATCAAATACTTTTAGAAAAATCATATCTTTTGAACCCTAACTTTAAATTTAACATGCTATATGTGAAATTTGATTAAAAAATGTGTAGAAACTGAATATGATGCTATGTTACATGTTAACTATTTAAAAAAATGCTATTTAGGGTGCAACATTAACCAATAGCACATGGTCTGTCTCCCTTTCACATAAGCATCGATCCAGATTAGAAATGAACACCTCAGCAAAATCAAGATAGGAGACAAAAGAAACGAGCTTTAACCACGCATGCACGCCTTGCCAAAACCTCACAAAAAAGCAGACTTCTCATCTTATGCAGAGATATGTCTTATGATTGAGAATATTCAAACTCGTTGTGGTTGTGTGAGCACCAAGGCCACTGTCAGCGAGGATGATAAGGAGGATATATAAGTGGCAACACATATGGATACCATGTATTTAAATAAAGGACGTGGACCTATTAACATCTCGAGTCATGATCATTTAGTTAGAGAAGTGTGGTATAGTTTATTCCAATGCATTGCATGGTTTCTTTTGCTAATTTCTTCAATTGGCTCTGCATTATTTGATCGTATTTTTGGGAGCAAGGTTGTCGGAATCACGATTTTGCTATATGATTCGACGACTTTACGATCCAAGATTATCTCTCTGATTCTACGATTTTAGTTTTTAAAATCTATGTTTCTATGATCCTGATAGTAAAGATTCTGCAATTTGCTATCCTACCATCGAAGCTCCGATCCGATTCAAAATTGTGATTCTGACAACCTTGTTTGGGAGGACGTCGCAAACCCAGGTTACGTGTGTACGCAAACATTTCTCAACATCTTTTCATGCGGCGAACCAGTCTGTGATTGGATGGTTAAAAGGATTGTGGTATCCCCAGTCCACTAGGATTCAAATCCTAGTTCTCGCATTTATTTCTGAATTTGTTTCAGGTTTTATGACGATGCGCATTCAGTGGGAAGAGACGTTTCCATCGATGACGAGGTGCCTACGATGACTTCGTAAATCTCAAGATGATATGCCAGCTCAATCTTTCGGAGGTGCTCATAAAGATATGGTGTGCGTGTATGCATTTATAAGGATGAGTGTATGCGCGTGTATATAAGCGCTTGTATCTATAATGATGTTAAAAAAACATATTTTTATGCGGTTAGCGCCGGTTGTAAAGGGCATCTCTAATGCTATCTTCTAAAATAGACACACTATTGATCCACGGAACGCGGTCCGTGGACACAAGAACGAAGCTGGTCATCCAACGTTGTACTTCAAATGTACGATTCTATTAGCTTAAAAAATAGAATTCCATTCCGCAACAGAGAAATCGCTGCCAAATAGTGAGCTAAGCACGTGATTATTAATACTACAAGTAGTACAATCGGTAACCTTCTGTCAACGTGAGCATGAATTTCCGCCAAAATAGTACAATTAGTACAAACTAACTAGTACAATTAGTAACCTTCCACCATTTGAGAAAAATAGTAAGCCTAACTTAGTGATCACAAACAGTACAATTAGTACTTATGGCCGTTGAAAATATGCCCTAGAGGCAATAATATTATATTATTATATTTTTCATTTATAGTTAAGTGTTTATATTTTATGCTATAACTCTTATAATCCTGAAATATGCAATTCAGTGAAAAACTCATATGCATGTGTGGAATGATAAACGGATAAAATAAAAGTTCATAGACCCGTCTCTAAAACTAGCTCAAGTGTTCTTAGTGATCATGTTTTCCATATCTTTCGATATGCGTAAGTGTAACGATAGTCCGAAAACAACATTGAGATTGTGACGTTGGAAGAATGGTCATATTGAATCGATCCGAACGTCCGAAAACAACATCGACCCGACCCGAACGTGTAATTAATTGTAACAACACGGAGTGTGATACGTCTTCAACGTGTCTATAATTTTTGACTGTTCCATGCTATTATAATATCAATCTTCAATGTTCTATATGCAATTACAACCAACTATATATCATTTTTTGTGACTGACCTATCAACTTAGTGCCCAATGTCAGTTGATGTTTTTGCCTGATTTTGGTTTTTCAGAATATCAGTACCAAACAAAGTTCAAATGCCATGAAACTTTTTGCAGATTTTTTCTAGACAAAAGAGACCCTGAAAGCCACGGGGGAGTGCCAAAAGATGAAGGAGGAGCCCACGAGGCACCAGGGCTCGCCCAGGGGGGTAGGCACGCCCTGGTGGCTTGTGGGGCTCATGTTCACCTGTTTGACCTAATTCTGCCTCTATAAATTCTCGAAAATTGGGAAACCAACAGAGAG